AAAAATTGTTAAAATATATATAATTAATCTGTAAATGTATTATAATGCATATTATGTTGTAGCCTTGCACAGAATCCTTATTTTTGGCGATCTTCCATCACTATAGAGATATTCTTGCTTCGGTTTTGGTTGATTTGATGAGACAGCATCACCAACCTGTCGATCCTAACAACCTGCATGCGATTCTAGTAAAAGACGCGGTTTATCGAGCGGTTGGTCTCGCAGCATTTGATTTGTATGACGAGGTAAGTGAATAGTATTTTAATAAGGTCTATTCTTTTTAGCTAAAGTTCTTACACGATTCATCTTCTTTTTCTCTTCGCGTTGAAGAGAAAAAGTGAAAAGATGAATAATGCAAGAAGTTCAATTAAAAAGAACAAACCTATTTATATAAACGTTTATTTAATCTATTATTATAGTTATTGTATCATTGCGCGACAGGTAAACTTTGATCAATGGTTTTCGACGACTCTAAAAGAAGAATTAAAAGTTCGAAACAACAATTATAGAATTATCAGAAGACGTGTATGTTGGTTGATTGGTCAATGGACGAGTACGTTGAAAGTTTTATTGAAAAGATAAAGATTTGAAATGATTGTTTACTATTTGTTATTTGCAAATTTATTGTTTGCAGATATCAAATTAAGTGAAGAATTAAGGCCAGAGTTATATAAGCTCATGATTGAAACATTGAATCCCGAAGAGGACTTAGGAGTTCGTTTAGCAGCAAGCAATGCTCTGAAACAAGCAATCGATGATTTTCAATTCGATCCAGAGAAGTTTTCTCCTTTCTTGGAGCCAATTTTTTCTCTACTTTTCTCGCTTCTTAAAGAAGTAAACGAGTGTGATACAAAAGTATGTGTGGAAAATTAGCATTTATTTGTTCTCAATATTTTTAGATTATTTCTTACAAGTATTTTTATCTTTTACAATCAGATGCATGTGCTGTCTGTGTTATCTTTTATTATCGAGCGTGTTGGTAGTGGAATCAAACCACATGTTGGTGCACTCAGCTCGTATTTACCTGAACTTTGGCAGCAATCTGAAATATACAATATGCTGAGGTGTGCCATAGTATCGACTTTGAAACACTTGGAAAAGGTGAATATGCGATATATTGAACCAATAGATTGATGCTATTAATAAATAATAATTGAAAGGAGTCTAGCAGGACTTAGTGTAATAAACAAAGTGTGTAATCTTAAAAATAAAACTTAGTTTAATATTATATCATATATATCGATACTTAAAATTAAACATTTTTCATTTCGATTCCATTTTAATGAGCTATATGGCTCTTTCATATTGTGTAATATTAAAGTTTTATTTCTAAAATTGCCTACTATTTATCACGCTGACTCCTAAAACTCGAATCGTACGAATTACCGATTACGATTGACTGGTTCTGTTTCAGTCACAATGCAGCGAGTCTATGAACGAGCCCAGACTTGCTGCATCGTGATGACTGAAACAGAATCAGGCAAGAAGGAGATCTTAAACTGAAGACTAAGAAATTTCGACGAGATCATTGTTTTACTGATTAATATATATAATTTACATACATTCAGTGTTATAATTTGGTAATTCTACACTGAACTGAAGAAATAATAAAAAAGATCTCAAAAAATTTTTTTATTCGCGCAAACTCCTCTCACCAGACATATATTAATGCACATATGTCAAATCTAGAAAAACGAACTAAAACTTTAAATCTGAGAGTAATACATATACAAAAATTCTTTACGAAAATTATTTAATTATTAAAATATAATTTTAGGATTCTGTTAACACTTTTTTTATTATTATTTTGAATCATCAGAAACTATTATTTTTATTGATATTGATATTGCTTATGTTTTTTTAATGTATCAACAGGCTCTAGGTTCTGAAAGCATCAATCTAGAGCCGTTGGTGGTAGGCGTCGTGGCTCTGAGTGTTGATGTCAGTCAAGAAGGACACGTTTATTTATTAGAAGACGGATTAGAACTATGGATAGCCTTATTAGAAAACACGCCTTCTCCAACACCACCTATAATGGATCTCTTCAGAAATATGCCAGCATTATTGGGTTAGTGATATAAGTTTATGCTATTAATAATTCTAATAAACCTTATAAAATCGAGGCGTGGGATCAAACTTAGAACCATCAATTATGAGTCAACATGCTTACGGATGAAATCATGCATCATCTCATTCTGTTAATATGATTGTTAAAGAGTCTTAATGATTTATATGATGATGTCTTTTTTCTATCATTTTCAGATCAATCTTCGGAGAATCTGCGTTTATGTTTGTACATAATTCAAATGTACGTGTTATTGAGCCCACAAGATTTCTTCACTCAGAGGAGTACGGTGATCATCGAATCGCTGAAAACGCTTCTCAGTGATTTGCGTTCAGAGGATAGAGTGAAGGTGTTAAAATTATTTGAGATCTGTCTCAGAACTTCCCCTCAACAGGGTGCAGAATTGATAAAACCCGTTTTGCTAAAAATATTTGAGTAAGTAGATGCCTCTGAGAAATATTGCGTTTGGATATTTAGTTTAAAACGTGATATGATATGTTAACAGGAGGAGTGTTTATTACGGCGACGAGTATACGTCGGTCATGACTATGCAACTATCTGTCGTCGCAAGAGTTTTACTAGGTTCCCGTGATATTTTTGTACAGGTAAGAAAAATTCTATCTCAACTGCGATTTTCTTCTATAAATTAGTTCGATAATGAAGATTATTATTATAGATAATCAGCGATTTAGCGCGGAGTATAGGAACCGAAACGAGGGAGGACGTTGTACTCGGAAAACTGATACACAGTTGGGTTAACGCAATGCCACTGGTAACTCAGATCGAAAGGCGCAAATTACTAGCTCTTGCACTCTGTTCTCTTCTCGGAGCGAACAGTCCGCCCACTGTTCTTGAATATTTCCCGCAAATAATATTAAACATTGTCGAAACGCTTAATGATGTCACCAAGTTTGATGATATGGGATATCCTGTCGAGTAAGACTTGAAATTCTTTTATTAATTGGGATGAGTTATAATGTGAGATCAAATCTTTTTCAACAAATGAAGTATAAGCAGTAGTCATAATGTCGTAATCCTTTAATATTTATATTGAATAATTGTTATTTAAATTTAAAAAAAATTTACAATGAATAGATACCTTTTTATAACTGTTTACTAAAAAATATTCTGTAAATATACAGGGTGTTTGGAAAATAATGATAAATCTTTCGCATAGGGACAGAATAGACTGAACTGAGAAGAAAAGTCCTCTACCATTTTGCAATTTTCGCAATAGTTAACAAGATATTAATTACTAAAAATTGTCGAAAATTGGTCTTCAATAATTTTTTACTCAAATACTATCAACTTTACAGAAAAATTGCAATAGACAAAAATTGTTTATTTTCTTGTCATAGAAATCCACGAATTTTTTTTCAAAATTTTTTATTAACTTTTTAGTACTGCATTTTTCCATTTTTACCAACATGTGAAAATACGGTATTAAAATATTCTAAAAAAATTTTTTAAAAATTCTTGAAGCTCTATAAGAAGAAAATAAACAATTTTTGTCTCTTGCAGTCTTACTGAAAAGTTGATAGTATTTGAATAAAAAATTACTGAAAATCAATTTTTGGCAATTTTTAGCAATTAATATCTTGTTAACTATTGCAAAAATTGCAAAATGGTAGAGGACTTTTCTTCTTAGTTTAATCCATTTTGAGAAAGATTAATCATCATTTTCCAAACATCCTGCATATTTATTGAATAATTATATTTCTTGATCATAAGATCGTAAGATTCTTATAAAGAAAATGGAAAAGTGAACTTAAAAATATGTGTGCATCACAAAATGAAATTGTTCCAGTTCCTTGATGATTACTGATCAGCCCAGTCCTTCGCAATATGAGGATGTAGATTATGATACCGAACATGCTCAACGACAGAAGAGACTTCTTTTTAACGATCCTGTACACAGCATATCTTTGAAAGATACACTTCAAAGTCAGGTGAGAATTTCTTATAAATATTTTTTATATTTTTTTGGACAGTTATCCAAAGACATAAAATCTTTTGAAATTGTTAGCTGATCACATTACGAGGTATAGTTGGGGATCATCAATTTGATCAATTGATGCTTACTCTCAACTCTGAAATTGATGAACAACTCAAGGATTACATATCGTTGTAAGGAAGAAACAAGATCAAAACATAATGAAGGATTCGACAAATGCTACATAACGTATGCAGCTTTATAGCGCTCCATTGTAAAACGGTACTATTTTATTGTATAATATTACCATCTGTTTCATTGTATTAATTATGATAATAAAAGTAATCTTGGCCTTGTTTGTTTCTGAAGCTTATAATTTCTGATTCCTTGATGCAGTGGGACAATATTTTTCCATTTAAATGAACCCAAGTGTGTGTTTTTGTTTTATAAACGACTGCTACCATTTAGCTATTCATCATCTTAAATTTATTTTGAAATGTACAATATTATGTAACTTTATTTTGTAATCGATAAATGGGATTTATCGAAATTGGAGAAAAAAAGTTATATATTTCTGATAAAAAATATATAACATTAATAATAAAAAGATATAATTTCAAAATACATATAATTTTTACAAAATTGTTACTATACCTCGCACATATTATAAGTCAACACGATTATTTCATTGCGTTTTTATTAATGCGGTTTAATTTACTCTTTATATTTTTTTGATCCTCCGAACTAAAAAAAAATGTAAGTTAAATTAAAGTTAATCTACATTGGTAGAAGTGAACATTAGTGATTTTCCAGGAGCAAAATTATATTGATAAATAAAACCGTTTGTATCGATATCTCGACTAGTCATCGAGGTCGGCGATACATGCATCGATTTTTCTTGCGTATCGATACCTCTCCCCTCGGAGTGCGATCCGATCGGTTTTATTTCTCCCCCACCCTGCGAAATGACTCATTGAGTCATTGCCACGACGCTCGCGCTGTCTGGCGGTTGTGTGCAAAATCGTGAACAGCTGTCGTCCGTGTGGCCTGTGTCAATTCTTGGCAGGGGTTATCCTGCGTGTCTACGTGAACGTGTTAGGCCTGTTCTCCTCCGGATTGCGGTACTGACGCTTGACTGAGCTGTTCAGCGAAAGCTGTCTTTGCGGTGAGTCAAACCGAACTGAATACATCCATGTCACGTACTCGCGTGTCCGTCATCGTCCAACTCCGGGTGTGTAACGCGTGTGTAATAAAGGGTGCTTTCCAACGAGAGGCACAGATGACACAGTGTAAAAGGTGATCCTACACGGTCAATAATACTGCCAGTATTAACAAATACTGACAATATTACTGATCGTCCGCGGTTAATATTGATGATGGATTGACGTAGATACTGATGATGATGACAATCCGGATTTGGATTCTCTGATATCAGTATCGCTTTACTAGGATCCATATCATCGGTAACAATAGATAAATGTACGTAAAAATTAAAGTGAAATATGTGATCAATAATATCGATCATGTAAGATTGTGAAAATACTAAAAATATTGGTGCGTACTGTCAGTACTGATTCAATATTACTGATCATCAGTATTATTGACTGTGTAGAATCATCTTAACACAGTGAATCATTACATCCTTGTTGTTTGCCAATGTTAAAACAAAGCTGAAACGTGATCACTGTGTTACATCTTGCCGAAAAGCACCGAAAGCCGCGTATATCAAGCAGCCTTGCTCCGATTACGTGTGCACGACGTTCGGCGCGTGCTCGATCGATTCGCGCTCGACGACGTTCGCCCGTGTATACTTTCTCACGAACGAGAGCACCTGCCTGCCGGTCACGCATCGGCGACGAAACGGTACCGTCTTCGATCGAGCCGGCCGGGCTCCCCAGCTCGACGGTGACATTTTCCGTTCGCCGGTCGCCGCAGGGCGACTCGGCGGATTTTTGAATGATCGTGAATGAGCGTGGCCGTATCACGTGACCGATCGTAGCGTATTGTAGTCTTCTGCCCTCGCGTACATCCCGGAGAAACCATTGATGACTCCCCTCGATCTGCGGCTGCAGCTGTGAGTTCGCAACCGGAGTCGGGAGATCCGGTTCTCCGATACTTGCTCCCTTCCTCTTTTAGATTACAGCCGTATCTATGAAGGTCTATTGACGATACTTTACGGTAGACACGATTGTTCTGATGTCGGATTGATGCTGCAATGTAACTCAAATCCTATGGTTCGAATTAATTTTCGGAATCTCTGATACTCTACCTAACGTTTATTATTGCGAAGATTTGTAAGAAAGTGAAACTTTTGTTTCGACGATTTATATATATAATTAAATTCGATCACTTACATTACACTAGATTAGTGCATACTAAAAGCTTCTATATATATGTAGAAGCTTTTATATGAAATTTGCAAAGTTAAATCAAAAGCGTATACATGTATTTTATAAATATTTTATAAATATTTTTAACGATTAAGTACTCAATAATGATATTGTTACGTTACCTAAACAAAAAAAAATATATATATATATTCAGGAACGTGTCTAGCGATCGTGCAGTGTGTTTGCAGGTTTGCACGCAGAAGTCGAAATTTATTAAATTATACTTGGATATTCTAAAAGTGCGACGAAATTGTAGCATTTTGAATGTTCACAATGTCTTCATTAAAATTATCTTCTATTGTTCATTTCTGTCAATGTAGATTAACCTTAACTATCCATTTCTGCAGATATAGATTAATTTTAATTGGTTTGACTTATAGTTTTTCTTTTTCTAATTCTTAGAACTAAAAAAAAATAAGGAGCAAGTTAAATTTAATCTATATTGATAGAAATGGATAAAAGACTAAAAGTTAATCAGTATTGATGGAAATAAATGAAGTGATATAATTTTGGTAGAGATAGAAATGGACGTTATAGATTAATTTATTCTTTTATCTTTTTCTGATTGTAAGACTTAAAAATAGAAAAATAGAAAAATAGAAAAGGGTAAAGTACGACTTATATCTAGTACGACTTATATCTAGTATTTATATCGGTTTCTTTCTCTTGTTTCCTTTTTTTGAAGTCAATTCCTGCATACAAATAACTACTCATATATGCACACTTTTGGGATGGCAAAATTTTTGCACGCTTCTGATGTATGAATTATTTTAGTGTATAAGTTGATTATATATTATGCCATTACTGTTTTTAAATACTTCATATAAAGCAGCCTTTAATGTATGCTAATTCAGTGTAGTAAAAATGATTGAATAATGCATCATAATTCATCATAATTCATAAAAAATCTTTTCAAATAGTATGTCTAAAATTGGGACATGTTTTTAAGCTGTCTTATAATATATGATAGAATATGATATATATAATATAATATGACATAATATTTAATGACTTCATATTTACGTCGTCTTATGTCCCGACTTTGAATGAACTTTTATGATGTTATCTAGGTTAATATGCCGGTATTGAGAAATACATATATATCAATAAATTATCCACCTTCTCCTATAATCTGGAGTATATGTATTCAATAATGACAAACAACGTGTAATCGACGATTACAATCAACCGAATTGGGCTTTCAATTTAACAAGCACTTAGTGATTAGCTTTAATTGAAATCGGAGTATTATGTCCCCATTTAATGAACCCGTCGATTTTCGTCTCCCGTTTTCTTTCCGTAACGTAGAAAATCGATACGACTCACATTCGCTCGGCGATCAATGCGGTTCTCGCGTCGCTTAATACGCGAGCTTATAATGACAAATAATTTAATATACGCCGTAAGTCGCTGAAACGGAAATGCCGAGGGGCATTGATGCTGCCGAGCGGCAGAAAAAGAAAAATCGTTCCCGCACATTCGCGATCCACTACTTTTGCTCCTTTTTATTGCATCCAGCGCATCCGCTTTGACCTCCGACTTTTATCGCGTATCGCATTCGTCGTTATACGTTCACAGTTGCCCAGCCCGCCCGGCCGCAAGCTGCGCGATTCCAAAAATTCGGGGATGAAATTTGTGTTTGACCCCTCGTGGCGCCCGTGGCCTTTCGCTGTGGAATAAAGAAGGCGTCTCTTTTCCGGGTTAGCAGGTAGTGATAAATTTGTTGAATTTAAACCTCGGCAAATGAATTACTTCCGAGCACTTCCTGAATAACGTGAGACTCTAAATTCAGCTTGTATGCAAATTTGCGCGAATGAGTTTGAATAATAGGAGATTCGTTGAATTAAGATAAGGGAAATTGAAAAGAATTGATAGAGATTTGCTTTACGAGGTTGCGACTTTTCTGGAGAGAACAGCGAGTTAGAAGGTTAAAAGAGATTAATGTTAATTGCGTCAGAGAAATTATGAATAACTAATTTGATAGTTCTCGCAATAGAGAACATCTTAATCTGGAAATCCTTCTTTGCTTTCTCCTATTTCTTTTTATTTACTATATAATTTTCGCATAATTTGTGGTAAATATTATGAACAGCTGTCGATGAGTTTTATTATTGCAGTTAACGATACAGGAGATAAGATATTGACAGTTCAAAAAGAGAGATAATTTCATTCAGTAAAAATTCGAGGAAAAATAATATATATATATTCTTTTTCTCGAATGTGTGTGTGTGTGTGTGTATTTGTATTTGTATACATATACAAGGTGTGCCGTAAAAACCGTAACAAGCTTAAGGGAAGATTCCTGAAATCATTTTGAGATGAAAATTCGATATCAAAATGTGGAGGATAATAATTTTTTAATATAATAAATATCAATATTTAGAAATATTAATAATTTTAACTTCTCATATGTCATCTTTATAATGATGTTATAACAAGAGACGATAATTAGCTTTTGCTTTTAGCACTTTGCGTTGCACACTTATCGAACATGTAAATTTTAAGCAGTACGATTCGTTAACTTTGAATGCTTATAATTCAATAACTATTAAAGTCTCAACATTTTAATATTAGAATTTCTATTATAAGATGTTAAAAGTAAATTCTCAGGAATCTTTAAGCGTTGTTACGGTTTTTACGGGACTGTATATCGAATATAAAATTTGTACGCAAAATTATCGAAAGATTTGGAGCGCAGCTTGAAGACGTAATTAAAAAAAATTTATAAGGATCCGAATTTTATTTCTATAGAGATAGAAAGTTGAATTTTGTAACATATATATAATACTTTATTGTATAATGTAACGATTTAGTAGTTATAGAATGAGCTGTTTAGTGGAACGAGATATGATTGGATTATGAGTGTCTACATCAATATGTACGCAATTCAATGTAATGAAATGCCGGTATTAATTAATATTTCGATATGCCAGATTCTTGGTATAACGATCAAGCAGAATTTAACATAGCGCAATTTTACTACACTTTGCCAATAATTTGTATAAATTTCCGCGTAACACATGCCCATCCCGTATTTTCTTTGATAACGTTCTTCATCTATATATTAATGCATATAACATTTTAATGGGTCGTTTTAAAGTTTTTCATGAAAATTGCAGATACATCATATAGACAGTGATCTATCAATATTGTAAATAATACGGATATAATTTCACGAAACACGTGTAGTTTGTAACAAGTTTATATATCGGCTTCCGTGCATAACATTCCGATTGCGTCACGAATATCAAACGGTTTTGTACAAATACGGTAAAGTGATTGCGTAGAAAAATTTTGAACACTGAACGTGATAATTCCGATATCGGCGGATTATCGGTGATACCATTTATATCGTATAATAAATGATTTCATGACCGTGATTGCATTGCGCGACGAACTAGGATTTCAAATGAAAATAAACTGCATGTCATAGACTATAAATTGTGAACGTGTCCGACATTTTACATATTAATTGAATTTATTACGATGTTCTAAATCACGCTGTCAAGTGTATCCTATTATAATAATTGTCAGTATTATTTAAAATGTCGGCGACTTGAATTAGCACATGACATTGTTACGAGAGTTATATTACAATTTGTCTAAATTATAGGAATAATGCAATTACACACATATATATTTGCCGTGATTTATTTACTTTCAACAAAAGACAAACAATATAATTATGAACGTGACAGAGATATCGGCATGACAAGCAACGTTAATTCCTTTGCACTATCGCAATAATTAATCTTGGCGCAAAATCGATACCAGG